CAAGGTGTTGCCTGGCAGAAGTCGTGGCACGCGGTGTCCTGGGCCCATTCACATAGCGTCGCATGCCAGGAAGGCGCACCCTCATAGCAAAAAGACGAAGAGCCGGAAGGACCTGGTAGGCAAAGGCGGCAGTCCAGACACGTGCTTGAGGTGCTCCCTGCTGGAGCTGAATGAGATCTCCAGTCACCAACGACCGCCGTGATCCCGCCTGTGGCGAGCCGTTTAAGACAATGGAGAATCCCCGACGCTGCTGAGCCGGGGCGAGCATGTGCTCGGGAAGTGTGTCCGGATCCACCGTAAACGAGACAAGTAAGGATCCGTCAAAACTTTGGTCTTGGAGCACTACAATCTCGTGGTCCTCATCTGCCAGTTCTTGAACGAGAAATCCCACGAGGATGTGTCTTGGGCTCGCAGCGGACCTTGGCATTGCCGATGCAATTGAAAGCACAGGTGCTTGGGGGAGCCGCCCGTGGGCCGCCAGCACCATCAAAAGCTCTGCCAGACTAGCAGCTATGTCAATCTGTGACACACTTTGCGGCGCCAGCCTCAGAACCGTGCCCCCTCCTGCTAGGATCACAGTGATAAGGTATTCACCGTGGTATGCAGTCATGGCAGCAGTGGTAGTTGTGGTGGTGCTGGTACTCGTCAGGTGTGGCCATGGCAACGTGATCAGGGCGTCTTGCAAGCCATTGGAGGGCAGTGAGATCGTGCGGGCACTGCTCCCAGACATTGCCAGTTGCATCTTGGAGGTAGATGCTCCAACTCCTCTTGCATCAAAGGGCACTAGAAAGAGCCCGTCCGCGAGATCGCTCGGAGTGACGACGAACTGGGGCGTTGGCAAGGCCGGAAGCGGGAGGCTGAGAAGCTGAATGCACCGTGGTGTGCCAAACGAATCAGAGGTGGCATCCGCCAGGTATTGAGCCACCGTCCAGCTTGCAGCTGCTTTGCGGACATGATGGTGATTGCAACCAAAGAGTGAGTATGACTCAGGACTGGTCCCATCATTGCTCGCACCGCCCAGCATGCAGAGTCCCGACATAGCCAGTCCTTGAAAAGTAGGGCTAGCAAGGTGCTCAGGCAGGAGTTGCACCCCCCTAGCCAGAGCAGATTGAGGCTGAATACCCAGCAGGGACGGCGGGCCGGCTCTGACATCGCCACTAGGCAGCGCGGCAGTGTAGGTGACTGTATGAGTGCCAGGCAAAGGGTGGTACCAGGTGGCTGGGTCTGGCATGGTGGGCCAGGCCTGCAGACTAACCCACTGTATGGAATCACTTCTCAGATCCCAAAATCCCACTTCGACCCCAAGCTGGTCCCGGAAGGAGGCGGAGGCATCGAGAAAAGCTGCTTGCCAAACACCTGTCGGATCAGCACCTGTGGCGTGCAAGCTCTCCCACACAACCGCATTGTCACAAACCCACGGCAACTCGATGGTGTGAATTTCACCGCCCACTGGTCTCAAGTCAACTGGCAAAGCTCGCCCTGGTCGCGGCGCATCAGCATAGGACAGGGTGAGCTGCGGTCCCGGCAAGGCCGGCATGTGTACTGTAACAACAAATACCTGCCATACCTCGTTTGGTACCTGTTGGATGGCATCTTCAATGTGCTGCATCAGTGTCCACTCTGGCATGGACGGTCGTTGCCGCTGCCACAGCCTTGGCTCAAAGATAGTGTAGAACCTGCGTTCACGAGTTGGCATTTCCGTGGTAGCAGCATGGCATACAAGGTCCCGGCCACCTCCATGGGCGACGTGCTCGGCAGGCTGTGGATCAGCGGCGGCCGAGGTAACAATCGATGACGCCTGGTGGGACTATGAAAGCCAGCACCTGAAAGTGGTCGTGAGGGCAACTGCTTGTTCCCCCCGGGGCCTCCGGTAGGAGATCCTGAGATAGTTCCATCCTGGAGCATGGCAGCCGCCGTGGTGGTAGGCAGCGGAAGATGGACATCTGCAGTGCAGGTCTCAGAGGCAGACCGCACATGCTGCGACATGGCTGATGCTTGATTAGCCTTGAACCACTGAGCGAACCTTCCAGATACATTGGCTGGCAACGGCTTGTTGTCAAAGCCTCTTGGTGACCTGAAGAAACTTGATCCTCCTCCGCTAGGCCGGCGAATACAATAGTCGGCATGTGGAAGAGAATGGTCCCGTGCTGTGCTCGCCCAAGCTGGCGGCACAAGCTGCGACAGGGCTGCCAGGCTGGGTTTGCTTGGCGGTGCAGTGGTTGCAGGAAGCGGAAAATGAGCACTGGCATTGCATGTCTCAGGGGCAAACCGCAACTGTAGCGCTAGGGCTGGCGCTTGGCTAGCCTCGGACCATTGAGCGAACCCGTTGGTCATCTTGGTTGGGAACGGCTTGCAGCTGAAACACCTAGGTGACCTGAAGAAACCTGATCCCTCTTCACTAGGCCGACGAACACAGTAGCCGACGCACGGCTCTGAATGGTCCCGTGCCGTGCTCGCCCGGGTTGGCGGCACAGGCTGCGACAGGGATGCAACGGGCCGGCATGTTGGCGACGCAGCTGCCGAAAAACTATGTACAGAAATCGGCTCAAAGTACTCTGTACAGCTGCTGAAGGTGACATTCCGAGAAGCCTTGGCAACAAGGGCAAACCTGCAGTCAGCATCACGTTTGCTATCAGGCGAGCGAGCCTCCCGCTCCCCAGAGGGGGAGGACGCTGGCCTGGCAGCAGTGATCTGCGTGGCGTCAAACCATACCGCGCAAGTCCTGGGGCCGGGAGCGGTCAACTGTCTCTTGTCCAGAACCAAACTGCTTTGTATCCCAGTATGCGACACCGCAACTTCGAACTGCGTACGTAATCCCAGGGCCTGTGCTCGTCGGGGGCAGGTATAGTCCCATTCCCATTGGATCGAGTTGAAAGGAGGACTGCTGTGCGCTCCAAGGGCGCATTGGATCGGCTCCACATCTCCCGTAAGGCTCAATGTGGAGCCTACTGAGGGCCCGCCTTCGGAGCGGCCACAGCAGGCAAGGGCTGTGGCGGCTGCGAGGTGCCCGCATTTCCAGTAGGCTTGCTGCCTTTGTCCGGCTTGTCTTTGGTGTCCTTGGCATCGGTGGCTTGCTGTCGACGCCGTGGCGATCTTTCCCGATCTGGCCGGCCAAGCTCCGTGGCCTCCTTGTTCACCGACTCCACCGCCTCCTGCAGCGTGTCCGTGATCTTTTTCTCCGCCGCTCGCATGTTCTCGTAGTAGGCCTGCCTCTGCACTTCGGCCTGGGCAAGCTCCGAGATCTTGGTCTCCTCGTCGTCCATGGCGGCCTCCGAATCGCCATCCACCTCGATGGCCTCCGGGTTGTCTGGATCGATCGCTGTCTTGGCAATCTGGGCTGATGTCTCCGCCAGCTGCTGCTCCCACTGAGCTTCTGCTTCCAGGAAAGCTTGCAGAGCCTGTCCCTTCTCTTCCAGCTGTGTCTTCCACATCTCGCAGAAGCCTGAGACATAGGTCGCCCACTCTCGCACATAGTCTTGTCGCGCTGCTCGAGTGGCTGCAAGCTGTCTCCTCGCCGCACTTTGCGCGGCAACCAGCCGGTGGAGGCTCTTGGCCTGGGCCCGCGAGTCCTCCTGTACCTGATTGTCCAAGATCTCGCGCACTGATTGCGGCAGCTCGTCCCGGCTGCGGTTCAGCGCACTCAGAATCAGCTGCAGCGTGCCCTCCGTCGGGCTCTGCGATGATCCGCTCGGCAGTGCTGGCGTGGCGGGCGCCTTGGTTGCTGGCGGCCGAGGCATGTTCTGCAGGGACGGAACCGCCGGCCTTGCTTCCACTACGGCTCCCTGCAGGGGCGGCGTAGAGTTTTTGCCCTCCATCGGGGCCTTTCCCTTGCCATCGTGGCCCCGCCTGCGTCGTGGCGAGCCACCACCTCGTGGCTTGCCAGATCCTTTGCCTGTGCTGGCCCAGCTGGTTTGCTGTCTTCGGCGCGGTGAGGAAGAGGGTCTCCACACTTCTTCCGTCCACTGAGCCTTCCACGGTGGCGCGTCCTCTGCACCAGCCGCGTAGCTCCAGCCTGTCCCGCACTGTCCACAAAACTGTGCGGAAGCCTTCACTCGGCCACCACATGAGCCGCATGTCCACGGCTGCTTGGATGTCATTCTGCCCGTCGAGTGATGCTGCAGCAAAAGTCGCTGTGCAGCAATAAGTCTTCCAGCTGGTACTTTCAACCAGCCTGTGGCCACTGCTCTGACCAAAGTACGGGCCTTCGTCCTGTTTCGCCGCAGCTTTCGGTGCCAAGAAGGCTCGCGAGGAACTTGTTGGCGTAGAGGAGGAATGGTGTACGTAAGCCAGGCAACACACCAAAATCGCCCAGAACATAAACCACCCAAAAAAGGACCGCCCTGATCCCCACAGGAGCGGTCAAGTCCACAGACTTTCAAGGCCAGCCAACCGTAGGTGGGGCCTGCAGTAGCAGCCTCCGCAAAGCGGTACAGCTGCAACTGAGATTCGCGGGTCCAATGGCTGGACCGCGCAAAGGGCTACCGGACGTCAGGGGGACCTGAAAGGAAACTACCCCTGGGCCGAAACGCCTAGGGTTTAGGGTTTAGGGTTTAGGTTTTAGGGTTTAGGCCATACTCCGGAACCCCTTAACTCCACCTAATGCCATGCACAATGAAGCACTTTGCCGTCCACTCGCCGCAAACACCCCTGAACCTAGACTCGGAAACCCATCGCGACAATCTAATCCCTAAACCCTGAACAGAAAACCCACAAACCCTGAACCCCGCAACCCTCAGAGCTAACATGCACCCCTCTCAGCCCTACATGTACGCCTACACCCCAAACCCTGAACCTCAAACAACCCAAAAACCCTACACATCAAACCCTAAACCCTCTACCCTAAACCTGAAATCCTAAACCCTAAAACCCTTAACCTGAAAAACCTAAACCTTACACCTTAAAACCCTGAAGCCCTAAACCTTCAATCCTAAACCCCCTAAAACCCTAAACCCTAAACCCTAAACCCTAAGCCCTAAAATCCTACACCCTAGAATCCCGGCCTTGGTAGAAATGTTGGTGGCTTTGGTGACGGATCCGTAAGAGCCCTCACCCAGCTTCTTCTTGTCCATCTGGTAGTAGTCCTGCAGAGTTTGGGGCTTATAGGGCTTAGGGTTTAAGACTTAGGGCTTAGGGTTTTGGGTTTCGGATAGGGTTTAGGGTTTAGGGTTTAGGGTTTAGGGTTTAGGGTTTAGGGTTTAGGGTTTAGGGTTTAGGGTTTAGGGTTTAGGGCTTAGGACTTAGGGCTTATGGGGTTTGGGGTTTAGGGTTTAGGGTTTATAGGGCTTATAGCATCTGGTAGTAGTTCTTTTTGGCATGTACTCTATATTAGGCTCCTCTGTTAAGGACCTGCTTATGAGGGTGCCGTAAGGGATGCAAATGCTTAACGGATGTTATAGGGTTTGGGGGCTGTAGGGTTTATTGTTTAGGGTATAAAGTTTAGGGCTTATAAGGTTTAGGGCTTAGGTTTCAGGGTTTAGCGTCATTCAGAAACCCCTAGAAGTCGCTGAGCTTGTTCGGCTACATGTTCAACCTCGAGATGCCTCTTTGAACACACGGGAAGACTCAAAACTCGAACAGGGCTTAGGAAGTGGTTACTTGGAGGCCCATGGAACTTAGTAAGTAGGTTATAGGTAGAGTTATAAGTACCCTAACTGTACTTACCCCAATTATAACCCTACTTATAGCCGACTTACTAAGTCCTCTGGGCCTCCAAGTAGGATATACAAACCCTAAACCGCTTGCCCCAGACCCATAAACCATGAAACCTTAAGCCCCTCAACCCTTCTCCCAAACTGCCGAGAGTACCCTAAACCCTAAACCCCAAATTCCCCTCCCTAGACCCTCAACCTTCTCTTTCTGAAAACCCCGAAAGGTTGAACTCTGCGTCCAAAAAAACCAAGGAAGCACTCCCAGAAAAGAAGAATCGCACACACAAACACACACATACACATACCGACACACTTTAAGCCCACGAAGATGCCGTGGAGCCAGCAGCGTTGCCCATGGAACAGTTGTAACACAGATTTCAAAACCCAAAAACCCTGTTCTTGTCATGAAGGCCCGTGCATTAAGCCCTTAAACCTCAGCCCTCATTACTCAGTAAACCCTAAAGCCCTAAACCCTTGAGCTGTCCGTGATCTTGCCCGTGTTCTCAATGATGAACTGAGCCTTGGTTGGGTGCTTCGGAGATCGTAGATCGTGGTTTGTGGTCTTGTAGTGTGTTGGGTCTACATGCGTGGGCAAGAAGGGGTTGTATGGCTTGTTGTTGAGGCCTTCGGTTTTAGCCGTGTGGGTAGCTACAACTTTTGTTTAGGTTGTCTAAAGGAGTTGGTGATTAATATAAGGGCCTAAGTAGTTACCTATACTATTTTGAAGGCTCCTTATTATAATTCTAATTATAGCATACTGGGCCCCCAAAAACCCTATTCTAATTATTCAGGCCCCACCCTTATACTCGCCCTTATAGACACCCTTTAAGGAGCCCTTCAAAGGAACCCCCCAAAACCCTATTCTAAGCATTCAGGCCCCTGTTTTTTTCAGGTTGTGATAGGCCCTTGTAGCCTTTCCGGCTATTCGAGTTCAGCGCGTTTTGTGCTGGAGCTTCTTGGGCTCTCAGTTCAGAACACTTGCGGTTCTCTCGGGTTTCAGGTATGTGGTGTTTTTAGGGTTTAGGGTTTAAACTTAGGGTTTAGGGTTTAGGGTTTAGAGTTTAGGGGGTCGTGTGATTTCTAGCTTCCGGTGCACGTTGGCCAAAGGAAGAGGTAACGGCTTCTTGAACCCAAAACTGCCAAACCGCCAACTACAGCCGGCTTATGTGCAACATTGCGGCTTAAATCCAGGTCTCCACCCTATACTCTTGGAAGGTCTTTTTTAGGGTCTCATCTTTCTCCGAAGTCCACCACCCTTGTTCTTGGGCTCCTTGTTCCGGGTCGTCTCGTCTTCCTGAAATACGCTGAATCGCGTTTAGGAATCCCGCGACCAAGAACTGGAGCAGAGTGATCTTCAGGGATGCAGGCAAACCTGTGACGGTTAAGGGTTTAGGGCTTTGGGTTCTGGGCTCTAGCCACCCTAAGCCCTAAACCCTAAACCCTAGTAGGGTTTAGTAAATAAAGAACCTTGCCAGGTACTCCCGCAACTCGAACACTCGAATCCTGTACCCCCAACTCTAAATTCTCAGCCGGTGGCCTTACTTGAGCTGGAGGTGAGCCTGTCCCAAACCAGAAAAACCCGGTACTTTCCTAGTCGGTGTTTAGGGAACCCTAAACCCAAAGCCCTAGGCCCTACAAACCCCAAACATCTGTCCTAACAGTTCCATTCTCCATACAGGGGTTTCCAAACCCCAAAACTTAAGGGACAATAGGAGGGAACCCTCCTCTATATAACCCTTATATACCCCTTATATAGTCTCTGTAGAACCCCAAGGGTCCCTTTAAGGGTCCCTCCTTTAGTCCCTTGAAAAACGGCTGAGCCGCATGTCCGACACCACCCCTAGACCCTAAATCCTAAACCCTAAACCCTAAACCCTCAGCTGAGCCGCATGTCCGATACCTCCTTCCTTGATCTCCTTCTTGGGCATCGCGGAGCCCTGCACACAGGATACAAGTTGGGGGCCCGGGTTTAGAGTTGAGGACTTTAGGGTTTAGGGTTTAAGGTTTAGGGTTGAGGACTTTAGAATTTACGGGTTTAGGGTTTAGGGTTTAGGGTTTAGGGTTTAGGGTTTAGGGTTGACGACTTTGCGTGGCTTTGGTTTTGGGGCGGTTCAGGCTTCTGGGCTTTTGACCGTTTCTATCCTTTTTCAAAAGCCCTTCTTCGGTCTGTGAAGCGCAATTCAAGTTGTAGGGCACTCGGCCCAGGTGGCGGGGTTTGGAGTTGTGGGGTTTATGGCTTTGGGGCCTTAATAATTAGACTAGGTGACTAGGGTTTTGGGGCCCCTTATACTATAATCATGTTAAAACCCTAAACCCTAAACCCTAAACCCTAATCCCCAAAATAGTATAGGTAAGTATTTTAGGCCCCTATATTAATGGCTTTGGGGCAGGGGCTCGCCGAAAGTGAGTGGGACTTCGGGCTGCGAATGGAGAGAAAGGCGGTCTCCTGCTTGGGGGGAGTCTAGGGGTCGAGGGTTTGGGGTTTAGGGGTTTA